CAGGTTCCTCTCTTCCGGGGTAGAGAGTTCGACAGTTACGAACAGTCTGTTCGACAGTTCCTACAAGGCCTTCTCTCCTACTAATTTTATAGTAGGTGGAAGAGTCCACCATAGACTCTTTAGAGGGAGGACACCACAACATATATATATATTCGACTTTTAAAAACTAACCTCACATAGGATTTGATTATAGTGGTGAAGGCTTCAGCAGAACCAATCACATTTTTTGGAAGTGCCGAATAGAGGGAACTGGCGCCATGTATGCCACAAGTACCCCAAACGACCTTCCGGAGTTGTTGTTCTTCTAGACCGTTCACCTCCCAAAGCTATAGGACCAGGTCTATCCTGCTATTTACACATATATGTGTGTATACTGTTATTCAAAATAATTTGACTCGGAATTTATCAGCTGAAATAATCTTTCTAGACTGTGTTCCCTCTTATATTTTATTCTATGAAACGAAGTATAAACTGAAACGGACGACAAATAAATGTTTTATTCAAGTAAACAATATTCCTTTAAATTCTGAAAGCTCAGCCTGTTTCTCATCGCTTTAGCTGGTTATCAAATAACAAAAAAAAACCGTCTCTGCTTCAACAATGTTTTTCTGCTGATTTGTGTTAATAACGGAATCTGGTTTGTTCGATTTTATTAAAATTAATTTCAAGTTCTTTCAATGTTGCAGTTTTTTGGGTATGTACTAGTGAGCTAGCCTAAATGAGTTGACTCATTTTATAGTTCACCAATAGAAGGGTTAACCAATCAGAAAGCTCAAAATATTCAATGCGACGTGTATAAAGGCGGCCATTTTTTTCTCTCCCAAATTGTCTGCACTGCCAACCTGATATCGAAGACTTAAAGAATTACTTAACAACCGCTACTTTCTCTGAATCTTCACTGCCGACCTCTGATATTGAACACATTACGGACTTCACTGGATTCCATATTCAGAGACTGCGGCAAACATGGTCAACATTCAAATTAAAAGTTCTCCAAAACTCTGCCTCAACGTGCCGATCTGATAACAGACCAATATCAATCGACAAATTTGTTCATATCTACCGAGGACTGCAATACTAAAATATTTCTGTTATAACCTAGGGACGGTTACTGAATAGAATATCCGCACGAAGGTTGGTAATGAACGATAATACTTAGAACAAGAACAACACGTATAAGATTCGCCAGCGGCGCGTAAAAGTAGTCAGCTGCTAGAAGTGAGTCAAGTGAATTCCACAATACCTGCAGGATATCTACCAACCACCCCACGCCGTCAGACGTGGCACAAGGCCGAAATTAATGTGGGGTATCCGAGCCCGTAGGTTTGTTCAAAACTCACCTCAGAACAAGTATAAAACGGTGCAGGGTAGCTGTTTCCCGAGTCGAGACTCTGCCCTTCGACATTACCTCGTCTGGTTATCGTCTCTTCCAGGAAGCAGAGAGTTTGAACAGCACAGCTGCTGACGAATCTCTAACTGCAGGATATCTACCAACCGCCCCACGCGGTCAGATGTGGCACAAGGCCGAATTCAAAGTGGAGTATCCCAGGCCGTAGACTCGGCCAAAAATTCCCCGCAGTCACCGCATAAAACGGGGTCGGGTAGCTGTTTCCCGAGACGAGATTCTGCCCTTCGATATAGCCTCGTCCGGGGATCCTCTCTGCCAGGTGCCAGAGAGTTTGACCAGCACAGCTGGAGACGAATCTCCAACTGCAGATCAACATACAGTATTTACTACTGTATTTATGCGAATGGGAACATACCCATTATCGTCCGTAGGTATGCTACAATTTCAAACCTCATCAGAACAACAAGGGAGAAGGAAATTATCACAACATAAATGAATCTGTGGCTCTTTTGATTTGGACATTGGATGTGGAAAGGTAATTTAACTTGATTTATGGTCCACACTTATCCTCAGAGATTCCAACACATTTTTCCTCACATACAATTTTGTCTTTCTTTCATTTTCACCTGGGGAAGCCAAAGAGAGTAGACGCTCTCGACGAAACGCGTCGTTGATAATTTCTTCTCTTTATCGTATGGTGGTCACTTTTGTTTCGGAAACTAATACACATCCTACAAACACATAGCCTCTTACTCTGTTACCATCTGCCTCGTATGGCTCTTGGGCTTTGTACATGTTCACCATCATTGTAAACAAATTTTAAAAATACACAACAGAAAACAAAGTCTGCTTTATCGCCCGAAGCCAGTGTAGTGAGCAGGGCTGATAACAAAGGCGCTGTTAAAAGAATGACAGTGAACAAAAAAAAAACAAGCTTCAACATCATCTAATAAATTTTTCCAAGAACTACAGTCCAGACAAAAACTTTTGGTCCACCCTGAATTTCTTAAATTATTTGTAATTTTGTTTTTGATGTAATAGAATAACCAGTCACCCCCATGAATGATTACACTATAAGTAGCAAGTACCTATAAAGTCAAACGTCAACGAGAGACTGGAGGAAGAGTGAGAGAGAGACGACTCAAGCACGCCCGACCTTCCAATTAGTGGCACTCACTACTAGATTGACCCGTGTATATAACTGTACCGTATTTCATATTGTACTGGTCGTGTACAATAAACCTTTCTTCTATTATCCACACGGTATTAAGTATTTATTCCCCTAGCAAGGAATATAACAGCGGCGACGAGGATATTTGAAACGAACTCACACGGAACATAACAGTTTTTAAGTAAA